AAAGGCAAGCATATCCATCTCCACACGATTGATTGAGCAAGGAGCAAGAAGGATCTGGATTAGTGGATGTTCTATTATCGCGCGAGGACACTGGGCCAGTCTCACTCTGAAGTGATGGCTGCAGTTGAACCGATCAAGTCGTTCACATCTGAACGCAAACATTACTTCTAAGGGATGCTTCCCTAGGGTGCATGATTGGGAATAGTCTGTGAACATGGACCTCAGATTCCTTGCCAGTTGATTACCCCACCAGTAACCCCAGCCTGTTTTTTGGAGCCTGTGACTCTGGACTTCTAAAGCATAAGAGGGTGGGCCTACTGGAGACCGCAGACTTAGGTACTCAAGTAGGCGCAGCCTTACTGTGGCGCACTGCGCTATGCTGCCATCCTGGGAACTGCATGGAGGTCTTGCCCACCACTACCTCTGGGGGGGTGGTCCTTTTGCTTGAGCAGTGAGTGCAATAGCTCCAGTGGTTCACCTGCTGGACTGCCACAAACCGGTACGCTACCTAACCTCGTTAAGCTTGGCAGGTCTGCCGTGGAGGTAGTGGTGGTTTAAGCCACCAATGCACGGCCCCAGCCTTGCTGAAAGTTTCGTTGCCTACTCCGATAATTTCCTGCCTCGGGCCTACCGGATCACAATGGTTGGCGGTGCCAGCCAAAAAAGAAAAAAACTGGACCGCTGGAGGGTCAGCAAAGCTTGGCGCGCAGTGGAGCACCTCCAGGCCCGGGTGTACTGGTGGTTTAATGGTCTACGATGTCAACAGGCGTTAATGTAAGAGAAGGGTGTCTTGGCCCTTTTCTCAAAATTTTGGAAGACCTATGTAGCCCCATGAATGAACATAGAGCAAAACCGTACTCTATTTTAGCTTTAGGGTTACGAGGATGCAGATGCCGATTTGAATTTTCACAGGCAGGGGCTGGGGGGGAATAGGTGGGGAAGAAGGGAAGACATGGTTGTGCCCATATGCTATTGGTATTGAACTTCAATCCACAACGAATTCACACGTTCCCATCCACGTATCCAATTGCAAAGTAGACTCGAAGAAGGCAAATCCACACAAAACTGGAGAGAAGATATGCGCAGCGGAAGCTCAAAACACACAGAGAATTCGAAAACGAATTTCAATTCTGAAATCCCTCATCCTCCTCCAATCAATGCAGAGTACTTGTTCCAAGAATCACAACCGAGTTTACAACAGCCCCGAACAACCAAAAACAAGCGTTCAACGAAGTATGCAGGAGTCTTCTTCTTCCTCCTTGCCACCTCATACCCCTGGCTATGACTGCCGTAGCAGCAGTAACCCCACAGCTGTCACAACGTTCCAATCTGAACCAGCAATCCCAATAGCAGTGCCAGCTCAGCGCCCACACGGAAGTGCAGCGCTGGAAGTCCTGATGAAGAAGGAGACAACTGATCCAGCGCTTCGAAGAAGATGAAGTTCCTCGTGAGGAGGAATAGCAGATATGGCTGCCGAGTGGAAAATGGCAGCGCCCAAACCCAACAACACAGTCCTGTGGAAGCTCTCATGCAGAGCTGCAAAATACCAGCAGTGCGATCTTCAACTTTGTTTCCCAACCTCAGCTATGGCTGGGCTTCGAGGAAGAAGATGACCTCGCCCAAAATAGAGCAGCAGCGCTCCAACAACGGACGCGCCGAGTTTCCCCAGCCAATGAAAACGTGAAAAGGCCCGAACCACATTTCCTGCCCGCTACTTCTACTCTCTGCCTTGACCTACGACGGACGACCCAAGACTCCTTGGTATCTAGATGGAAACAGGGGGGAAAGGGGACGTAGACCTATGACAAGTTAAAAGGAAAAAGGCAGAATGGCTTAAGGCTACCAAAGAGAGACTAGTAGTCACGGACTCAGGGATCAAGTCCCATAGGGCGCAGCACTCACAAACAAAACACATGAGTCACAGGTCACAGGATCAAGTCCTGCAAAGCTCAAAACAAGAAAACAAACTATAAAGCCGAATGCTTAGTGTACATCCCGACTGGGAAACTGTGATTTATTGCATTCTTACCCTCCGGGGAGCGAGGACCCACGGGCTACTCAACCAATAACCAGCGCAAGCGGTGGGAGATGTATGAGCTGTAGGGTCGCTAAGCTTTGGATGGTCGTGGGGAACGCAGTGGTCTCTGAATCTCAGAGTAGATCGAACCCTCTAATAAGAGATAATCGGAGTAGATCGATTAGTTGGATGCGAGGGTATTAGGTAATCAATGTAAGGTAACCCATCAAATTCTGAGAACCGGACTATTGAGGTTCAGAAACTTCAGATTAACAATGTGGGTTAGTTAGTTGAATGTGAGGGTATAAGCCCGGTAATGAACTTTTTTCAAGTTTTTGTAACCCATGAATTCTGGAAATCTGATTATTTTCTGTCTTGAAACGGTATTCACCAGTTCGCAGTAGCTGATGCAGGTCCCAGGGCTCGATCCCTAGATCCCCACCTTACCTGTGTACAGTACCTGTGTCAACC